ATCTCCCAAAGTGGTGGGATTATAGGCGTGAGTCACCACACCTGGCCTTATTTTATCCTGAATTAATAAAGGCCCCTGTTCCAACTGACTCACATAAATGTTATTCTGGTTCACAAGGTCCTTAGACCTTTTACATGCTCTGCTGGCTTATTGTTTTAAGGAAATGATTGAAAGATCATCCTTTTCTGTTTCTAAATAGTTCTCACCAGGGATAATTTTGCCACCACCTCTTTCCAGAGGGACATCTTAGAGTGTCATAACTGGGGTGCTACTGGCATCTAGCAGGAAGAGGCCAAGGATGGTGCTACCAGTCCTACAATGCACAGGACGGCCCCAAGACCAAGAATTATCCAGCCCAAAATGTTAGTAGGACAGAGATGAGAAATCCTGGTACAGTGGTTAAGAGTTGAAAATTATGGGAGACTAGACTACCTTAATTCAAATCCAACTCCACTACTTACTATGTGAATGACCTCAAGCAAGTTGACTTCTGAGCCTCAGTTTCCTCATTTCAAACTAAGGGAGACAGTACCTAACTCATTGGAATACAATGAGAATTATGTAGGAATATGTGCTTAAACTTAAAAAAAAAAAAAAAAAAGACTGTAGCAAATTAAAGTACAAAAGTAACATGTAATCATCCCTTTTATGTGTACTCCTTTTCAAATATTAACAGGCATCCTCCACCTTCTATTTAGCATCACCCTCTATCAAGTAACAAATTTAACTGCTCTAATCACATTATCTAATATAATCTCCTGTATTTACACTCTGCTGCTTTAATAAATTAACCACATATCGTCTTCTGAAAGAAATATAAAGAAGTTATTTTACACTGCCTTTAGTATATCCAGGAGTTTGCAATATGGAGCATTAAAACTAACTCTTTTGTAGTCTTCCTTCTTTTACACTATCATCAAACCTACAAAATATATTTTCTTTGGTCCCAGAACAAGCATGGGTCACTTGGATAATCACAGTACAAGAGCTATTACATAATTAAGTCTGACCCCATTTTAGAATTGAAGAAATTGAGGCTCAGAGCTTGCCAACTTGTCCAACTGCACAATTAACTGCAGAAACTAGAACTTGATCAATTCCCTGATTAAGAAGTAACAGAAATATGTAGAAGCATCCTCTCCTTTTGAATCCCAAACAGGGCAATCAACAGAAAATTAACCTTGAATAGTATTAACAGTGATTATTGTTCTCACATTCGACAACAATTACCCCTCTTCTAGGAAATCAATGACTAACTTTTTAGGAGCTAACTTCAATTCTTACCCAACTGTTTCCTTCAGTCTTAAGCAGATACCTATTTACAGATTCTCTAAAAAGGTCTCTCTAATTAGTATAACTCATTGCACATCTACTTGTTTTCTTATCACACTGTTATAATTTTAATACTCATTCCATTTTCAAAATCCATCCATGGCACATGAAATTTTGGGGGTGGCAACGGGCACTACTGGTGAAGAAACAGTCTATCATGAATAGAGATTTAGTATTTCCTACCTCTCAGAGAAAAAACCCTCTACCCTTTAACCAAACATATGAAGATGTTTGGACGGCTAATATTTAAGACATTTTCAAGAGAACATTCTATAAAATACGTAGAAAATATGCTAGATAGGCCGGGCGTCGTGGCTCAGTAATCCCAGCACTTTGGGAGGCAGAGGCGGGCGGATCACCTGAGGTCAGGAGTTCAAGACCAGCCTGGTCAATATGACGAAACATAACCTCTACTAAAAAAAAAATACAAAAATTACCAGGCATGGTGGCGCATGCCTGTAACCCAGCTATTCAGGAGGCTGAGGCAGGAGAATCCCATGAACCCAGGAGGTGGAGGTTGCAGTGAGCTGAAAGAGCGCCACTGCACTCTAGCCTTAGTGACAAAACGAGACTCCGTCTCCCAAAACAAAACAAAAAAATGCTACACAGATTTTTCATTTTGCCAATTTACCAAAATTCCGCTTATTTACAATTCTGATTATTTTCACAAATATGGTCAATAGTAAGAGTTCAATAAATACTTTTTTAGATCATTGGTGTTTCCCTATGACTCAAAGCGTTCAAGTCTTCTTTAAAGGGATATTATGCATTTGTTTAACAAGTCTGATCAACACCTGTTATTTTCCAATTAGTGTATCAATATTAAAATTTATACAATTTTTAAGTATACAAATTTCACTCACATTTGATTTTTTGCTGCTTGCCTCTGAGCTTTTCTTTCTTTCCTTTTCTGATCTGGTGGCTTGGCAAAAACAATTTCAATATTTTCTCCCTCCAAGTCTTTGCCATTCATTTCTTCCATAGCCTTAAAAAATTAAATAGTCAATATAAAAATAGGACTTCCAGACAATTATGATTCATTTAAAGCTAGAAAATCAATTATCATTAATGCAGGAAGGACAACAGAAAGCCCCCTGTAGACAGTCAGATAATTTTATATAAAGATGCAGATCTTCAACTATTTTTCATTTTTACTTAGAAAACTGCCAAGCTCACTAAAACCAAAAGGTTTTAGTTTGAGTGGATTCCATGGACTTCCAAGTTTCCTCCAATTTCTAAAACTATTTTGAAATTCTAAGATGACTAGAAGTTGTTAGTCTGATTTAGATGCCTATAATTCCACCATATTTACCTTGACAGCACCATCTCGTTCATCAAAATGAATGAATGCATAATCTTTTAACTTCTTCACTCGTTCCAGTTTCCCAAACTGACTAAATGCCTTTTCTAAAATCTCTTCTGTTACAGTATTGGCAAGGTTGCGTACAAACAGCACTTTTACCTAGGGGGAAGAAAAAAAAACCCCGTATTATTTCCAAAGAGTTCAATTTCTAAGATGCCACCACCCTACCACCCTACCCTACAAAGTTAACTTAAATCACAATCCATTAGAAGAATGTCAGAATATCAAAAAAAAAAAAAAAAAAAAGTTTTCAACTCCTTGGGTAAATATCAAGGAGCAGAATTGCTAGATCATGTTGAAAGACCTGAAATAGATGCTTTGCAAAAAAAGATACACAGATAGCAAAGAATCTCATGAAGATGCTCAATATAATCTGTCATTCAGGAACTGCAAGTTGAAACTATTAGTATGGCCAAAATCCAACACACTATAAATGCAGGTAAGAATGTAGAGCAACAGAAACTCTCATTCACTGCTGGTGGGAATGCAAAATGGTATAGCCCTTTTGAAAGACAGTTTGGCGATTTCTTACAAAACTAAACACACACTTTCATATGACCCAGCAATCCTGCTCCTTATTTACCCAGAGTTGAAAACTTACATGCACACAAAAACTTACACAGGGATGTTTACAGTAAGCTTTATTTGTAATTGCCAAAAATTTGCCAGATGCAGTGGCTCCTGCCTGTAATCCCAGCAGTTTGGGAGGCTGAGGCGGGTGGATCACCTAAGGTCAGGAGCTCGAGACCAGCCTGGCCAACACAGTGAAACCCTGTCTCTACAAAAATACAAAAATTTGTTGGGTGCGAAGGCACGTGCCTATAGTTCCAGCTATTCGGGAGGCTGAAGCATAAGAAATGCTTTAACCCAGGAAGCAGAGGTTGCAGTAAGCTGAGATCGTGCCACTGCACTCCAGCCTGGGTGACAGAGAGAGACTCTGTCTCTAAAGAGAAAAAAAAAAATTTTTCCAAAAATTGGAAGAAACCAAGATGTCCTTAAGTGGGAGAATGGACAATTGTGGCACGTACAGAAGGAATATTATAACTGATATAAAGAAGTAAGTAAAAAGCCACAAAATGACACAGAAGAACTTTAAACATGTATTACTAAGAGAAAGAAGACAATGTGAAGGTTACATAATGTATGGTCCAACTATGTAACATTCTGAGAAGGCAAAACTAGGGAGACAGTGACTGACAGTGGTTGAATGGGGAGGGAAGACTAAGCACAGGACAGAGGAATTTTAGGGCAGTGAAACTATTCTGTATAATACTATGATGGAAACACGGTTTACATTTCTCCAAACCCACAGAACATACATCTGGAGTGAGACCTCATGTACACTATAGACTTTGGGTGATCAATCTATGTCCATCAATTTTAAAAAACATACTATTCCAGTGCAGGATACTAGCAGTGAGGAAGGCTGTGCCTGTGTAGGGGGCAGAAGTCATATGGAAATTCTGTGCTTTCTGCTATAAACCTAAAACTAAAACTAAAACTGCTCTAATGAAGTCTATGAAAAAGAAAATGTAGACTACAGGCTACATCAGTAATAATTATTAATTAATCATTTTGCAGTTAAAAAAAGATAATCTTTTCCTAACAAAGTAAATACCATGCCCTCTTAAGAGAGCTATTGAATGTTTAGCACTTAACACAAGTGATCAAAACTAATTAGAACTTGCTTTTGAAATCTTAAAGGGGGAAGGAATGTTCAAAATAAGGTAAACTGTTCTCTCAATCCTGAAAGCTTCCCAAAGTACAATTACAAAATTTAATCTTTTCACTAACATTATCACTTCCTCCTAAAATACTTGAATGCCATCTGAATGTGTTAATCTAAAGTGCTAACCCAGTGAGACTTCACAGGCCAGAGGAAAAAAGAATCCTATTTTCTTTTCTCTAAGAACACTTATCCTTCAATAATATTTATAGTTTCCTGGCAGTTCACATTACCCTCAATTTAACTGAACTAGTGGTATCTGACACCTAACCTCTAAGAAATAAAGGGAGAATTCTTAAAAGACAAAGGGTAACTGGGGCATGGTGGCTCATGCCTGTAATCCCAGCATTTTGGGAAGCAGAATTCCTTCAGGCTAAGAGTTCTTAAGACCGGCCTGGGCAGCACAGGGAGACTAACTGTCTCTACAAAAAATTTTTTTAAAAATTAGCCAGGTATGTTGGTACACACCTGTAGTTCTAGCTACTCGGTAGGCTGAGGTGAGAGGATCTCTTGAGCCTGGGGCTACAGTGAGCTATGATCATGCCCCTGAACTCTAGCCCTGGGCCAGAGACCTAGACCCTGTCTCTTACGAAAAAAGAAAAAAAGAGGACAAAGGAGAGAAACAATAACTGCAAATTATTGCACTAATGTGTAATAAAGTGTTGACTCAAGGAATGTTTATTCTCATAGAATGTCTCCACTGACTGCTGAAACCAAGATACCTAATAATGGCTAAATGTAACTGCAAGCAGCTCTGCTGGGGCCAGTATAATTTACTATTTTTAGGAGTAAGACTTTTAACCCCAAAACCATGTAAACTAATGGTGCCATTCTCAAAAACTCAAACTGCTCTTAAAAAACACACAAAATGGAAGTGAACTGTCTACAGCATGTAGGCTACTTCATTTTAAGATTGTGATGGCTATACAATTATGGCTAAGTATCCACGAATCAATTTCTGTTTTCACTTTGTAGGCACATGGTATTTCCAGTGTGCACTGCCTAGTCCCTTAGTAAAGAACATTTCTCCCAACTCCAAAAATATGGTTTAAAAAAATGTGTACAGGGCCAGGCACAGTAGCCTCACGCCTGTAATCCCAGCACTTTGGGAGGCTGAGGTGGGTGGATCCCAAGCTCAGGAGTTCGAGGCCAGCCTGACCAACATGGTGAAATCCCAGCTCTACTAAAAATAACAAAAGTTAGCCAGGTGTGGTGCCGGGCGCCTGTAATCCCAGCTACTTGGGAGGCAGGAGAATCACTTGAACCCGGGAGGCGGAGGTTGCAGTGAACCAAGATGGCACTATGGCACTCCAGCCTGGGAAACGAAAGAGAGACTGTCTCAAAAAATAAAAAAATGTATACAATTCATTTTATGTTTCCCCCAACCCCCCGGCCCTTCTCCCATTAATCCCTCAAAAAAGATTTTTAACTTGACTATCATTACCTTTGCCATAACCTCAGGATCAGGATCTTCTATAGGATCAGCCCATTCAACAGTTCCAACATTCCCCCAGACCTTGACTTTACCACTCATTAACCTACGCCTTGCCTGGGCAGCTGTTTTGTGATCTTCATATTCAAGAAAGCAAAAGCCTCTGTTTTTTTTCTTGTCATCCGGTTGGTGGTATAAAATGACGTCTGTAAGACCCTCTGCAAGTAAGCAACCATTCCAGGGAAATTAGACAAAATAACTAGCAAATATAACTGGATCAAAGGATTTATCTAATATACTACTTAAATATCAAAATGAAAAGTCATCTCTTTTCTTCACTAGACAGCTTTATAAAAGACTATCAAAAACTAGGTCCGGATTATTTTCCTAATCTGTTTCCGATTTTTTCAACACAGAAATCTCCAGAAAAACATTTGTTCTTTTAATTAGACCTAAGGACTGTTTTTGCTTTCACTAATTAAATCAGAGCGGCAGATAAAAAATCTTCATATAACTGTTGTAAGAAAACAGCAGTATAGATCAAACATGGCTATTTTTTTTATTATGCAAACACTTAAATTCTTTTTAATGGCACTTTTCTGGTGTTAGATATCAATGGCTTTATTTCAAATAAAATAGAAGTTATAAGTACTGCATAAAAATTTCCAGTGTCCTGAAGGTTGATAACAGGCTGATAATTTGTTAGACCCTGCTGGCAGACCAAAATATTTTCTAATAAAAGCAACCTGTCATTTAAAAGTTGTTATAAAAGACATTTTACAGTTCAAAACATTTTTTATCATGTTGACAATATATAAACTCTGTTTATGGGCCAGGTGCGGTGGCTCACGCCTGTAATCGCAACACTCTGGGGGGCCGAGGTGAGCAGATCACTGGAGGTCAGGAGTTCAAGACCAGCCTGGCCAATATGGTGAAACCCCACCTCTACAAAAAATACAAAAATCAGCCAGGTGTGGTGGTGCGCGCCTGTAATCCCAGCTACTCAGGAGGCTGAGGTGGGAGAATCGCTTGAACCTGGGAGGTAGAGGCTTCAGGGAGCCAAGATCACACCACCACACTCCAGCCTGGGCGACAAAGCAAGACTGTCTCAAAAAAACAACTCTGCTATAGCAATACTTATTATTCCCTGTAATTTGAAGAAAATCAATCATTATTCACATAATTCTACTAAGAACATCAACTAACACCTAGAGAAAGAACACACAAAGAAATACAATCTTCCAAAACATGGAAAGAACGATGATTTTGCAGAATGAATTCAAATCCTAGCTGTATTCTCTACTAACTTGTATAACATTTGGCGAGTTATTTCCAAAATCCCCGAATGCCTGTTTTTCTAATCTGAAAAATGGGGTTACCTACATTTTATAAAGTTGTAGTGAGGATTTGATGAGTCAATAATTGTATTTAGAACAATGCCTAACAGAGAGAAATATGCTATTATCTTCATTATTAAAAGCTGCATCTCATTCCAAATAAATCCAACTTACCTGTTACTTTGCTAAATTCTTCAAGAATCTGTTCCTTGGTTTTACTCTTAGGAATAGAGCCCACAAAAAGCCTATTGTTGGCAACCGAGATGCAGACACCAATGTGTTTTCCAGAACGAATTTCATGATTATTATACTGAAAAGATAAAAAGTGCATCATGTTTTAAATTACTTACAATATACAACTAGAAGAGTTTATTATAAAAGATACACAAGAGCAAATCATCCTTTAAAAACTAGTTTACCTTAATTCCCATACAAAGGAATCATGAGAAACAGATTATATTAACAAGACTCATTGGACAAGTTTATGAACCAATTTAATGCAAATAAAAGGTTATTAAATCCTTTACTTGATTAATTAGAAATAAGATCTGCAGCAACTTATTTAAATTCAAAAAGTGCCAGCTCCTCAAAAACTTAACTTTTACTTAAATTCATCCCGTCAATCAGTTACTCTCACACAAGTAAAACTGATCCCAAGATCAGCAAGATCTCTGCCTTTCTGTTAACCAGCACCTAAATCTATTTTTCCATCTTCCCTTCCTCTTATCAAAAGTTGCAATAAGAAATTTCGGGTTTCAAATATTTAAGTCTAAAAAGACAGCTTTATTTCTGACTCCAACTGTACTTTTTCCCCATTTCATTTTCATTATGCATATAACAAAGTTATGAAGGAGAAAGAAAAGTAGATTGGTCACAGCAAAAGGATATAGAAACAACTTTAAAATGACAGTAAAAAAGTGAATTTAATTTTCAAGTAACCATATCCCAGATTACCATAACGCAGAGGCAAAAAGCAATGTGTTAAAATGACAAATCAACCAATTAGTATTATTTACAAACCCAAGTTCAAAAGTATCCAAGTAATCTAGAAAAGTGGATTATACGGGTTAAAATTACCACCTCAAAATTTATGTTACTAATAATGGTGGCAGCAGCGGCAAAACTTATTGATTAATCCTACCACAACTAACCTCAAAATCTATTCTACATGTGGAGCTACACAAACTAAAGAACCAACATCAATTTCCATACAACTTTATAGAATCACCTTATAGCAAAAGAAACCATTCTTCTATTATGCCCATTCTTGCTAGGTACAGCAGGTATAACAGAAGAAAACATGTAATTCAGAAAGTTGAGTCCTCCCTGTCCCTTTCTCCATCTTGTCAAAATTTAATAAGGTTCAAACACCATACCTCTAGTTCAGAAAAATGTATTGTTTTCTACCCCACTATTCTGTACAGGCTATTCAAGTGCGTGGCCATCCTGATCCCAGGTTTATCTCCATTTCTCTACATTTATGCCAGAGGCACAAGGTTAAAAAAATTAGAAAGATGACTCCTGTTACTTCTCCTTTCTCTCTCAAATACCTTTTTATATTAACTTTTAAACATGCGGGGGTTTTTTGTGTGTGTGTTTCCCGAGACAGAGTCTTGCTCTGCCGCCCAGCCTGGAGTGCAGTGGCACTATCTTGGCTCACTGCAACCTCTGCCTTCTGGGTTCAAGCAATTCTCCTCCCTCTGCCTCCCGAGTATAGCTGGGATTATAGGCACTTGCCACCACACCCAGCTATTTTTTGTATTTTTAGTAGAGACAAGGTTTTACCATGTTGGCCAGGCTGGTCTCTGAATTCCTGATCTTGTGATCCACCCGCATCGGCCTCCCAAAGTGCTGAGATTACAGGTGTGACCCACCACGCCAGGCCACATGCAGTTTTTATACTCCTATGGCTCTGAAGATATTGCCTTCCTTCCCTGAAACTTTTACCACACAAACTCCTCTGGATACTTGTAAATTGAGTTCAACCACCCAATACTTCAATCCATAAATCCTAAAAGGGTCAACAAAATACTCCTCCATGTTAACACAGACCAACAGTTCTCAACAGAAGTGATTTTGCCCCCCAGAAGTCATTTGACATTCTTGATTGTCACAACTTGGAAAGATGCGGGGACTTGCTGCTGGTATCTAGTGGGTAGACAGAAGGATGCTGATAAACATCTTACAACTCAGAAGACAGGCTGTCACAAATAATTATCTAGTCTAAAAGATTAGCAGTGCTGAGGTTGAAAACTCCTGCCACATACTTTGTCTTCTCACATAGCATTCATGTCTTTCTCTTCCATCAGACTAATAATCTTTTAACGCCGAAATATGTTACCTGAATGTAGCAGAGCTATGGCTGAATCCATCATTGCACAGAATTACGGACAAGTAGATTATAATGCCTTATTTTACAAATAAAATTAAACTAAGAACACAATAAATTACTTTAAAATATGTGCATTCCCTAGATTCTTATAATTTAACATCAAGCAGCCAGCCTTAGCAACAAATCAGTGGTTTTCAAATTGGTCGTCCAATCACTAATTCTAGTAATTAACAAAAACAATTAAAATATCAGGAAAAGGTGGAAAGAAATACCAAGTGTGTAAAGGCGAAAACAGGAGTAATTCTGGGGATGACGGATTTTGGTATAATGAGGGAGGAACTGGTATTTTCCAAACGCTCTAAAAACAGGAGCTATTAACTATAAGAAAATACCTAATACTAAAAAACTTCCAACAAAAACTTGAATTCTTAGTTCTACCAAGAAAATACACCATTAAGAGGAACCAAAATCCTTGTAAGAAATCTATAAGGCAAAGGCAAAACAAAAGGCAATGGAAACATTCCATCAAGGCAACAATCAAAGAAATATAGAGAAGACAGCTAATCTGTAACATAGGCAACACTTCCATTAACCATCAACATTAACAATGTTGCTTCAAATTATTAAAGACCGTTTCCATTATTATCTACAGAAAGACCATTTTTTTCTTTCCTACCCATCATCACTAACCCTGATGCTAATCAAGTTAGCCAAGGCATGGTAGGTAGAAAGTACAAAGGATGGATATGGTCTCTGAACAACATAAATAACACAAATATTTAGCAGGATTTATAAAATAAACTGCTGATTCCTCCCTACCCACATTTTTTCAATTAAAAAAACTTGGGCCGGGCACCGTGGCTCATGCCTGTACTCCTAGCACTTTTGGGAGGCCGAGGCAGGCAAATTGCCCAAGCTTAGGAGTTCAAGATCAGCCTGGGCAATACAGTGAAACCCCGTCTCTACTAAAATACAAAAGAAATTAGCCGGGAGTGGTGGCAGGCACCTGTAATCCCAGCTACTCGGGAGGCTGAGGCAGGAGAATCGCTTGAACCTGGGCGGCAGGAGATCGCGCCACTGCACTCCAGCCTGGGCGACAGAGCAAGACTCCTTCTCTCCAAAAAAAAAAAAAAAAAAAAAAAAAACTTGGAACAATTATACTATTATAGGTAACACAGAGAGTAAATTGGCTCTCCAATGAAAGTAAGTCATTAAATGAACAAAGTAAGGAGACTCTATGGGTATACTGTCCAACTATAACAGAAGTAGGACCTAGAAATTAACATTTCCTAAAGCAACGCCCCATCTATGGATTCCGCATGTTTTTGTACGTATACTTGAATTGCTTAACCTTTCTTACGCCAATGACACTCTATCACCCTAAAAACAAAAACAAAAACAAAAAAAAACACTTATCCCAGCAAGATGGGTAACAGTGAGTTAGATGGTGAAGGGGGCAATACAAAAAACAAATGTGAATAAGAGATTCTAATTTAATACTAGTAAACCCTAATTCAAGAGGTAAATGTATCAGGTCACTACAGTGGTATAAAAACATGAGCACAGAAAAACAAAAAAGTCTCATCTTTCCTACTCTAGAAAGGTTGGCCCTGGATCTTAAGTTAGTTGTGAAAATCTAGCTTTCAAGTTCAATACCACAGTGAGATGAAGCAAACAGAAAATGAAGATTAATTATGATCATGAATCAATGTGAGGCTTCAGTTTTTAAGAACACCAAAACAATAGTACAGTCTGGAACATCCCTGTCATCAAGGCTCAAAATTTTAAGTCACTTTTAAGTCCTTCCTTCGTAATCACCAAATTCTCAGAAATTCAGCAATGTCAAATTTGGAATTTGATCCAGAAGAGGCTGCTTAGTCCTAACTCTTCTCAGCAAAGCCACTACCTCCAAAGCCATCCACATTAAAGATTTTTTTTTTTTTTTTTGAGACTGAGTCTCGCTCTGACACCCAGGATGGAGTGCAGTGACGCGATTTCAGCTCACTGCGGCCTCCACCTCCCCGGTTCAAGTGATTCTCCTGCCTCAGCCTCCCTAATAGCTGGGACCACAGGCGTGCGCCATCACACCCTGCTAATTTTTGTATTTTCAGTAGAGACAGGGTTTCACAACATTGGCCAGGCTGGTCTCGAACTCCTGACCTCGGGTGATCCGCCCGCCTCAGCCTCCCAAAATGCTGGGAGCTGGGATTACAGGCATGATCCACCGTACCCGGCCTAAAGATTTCTTAATTATAAAGCCTTCTTCACAATGAGCCAAAATCTGCTTCCTTAAATAAACCTATTTATTTCCCCCAAATGACAGCATTTCATATACCTGGCACACATGCACATGACTCAGTTGTTCCCTATGCTTGGCTAATCATTGCTTCCCTGATACCTCCAAGAAATACTGACAAGTGTCACTATAGAGTGACACTCTAACACAATATTGTCAGTGCAGACTGAAACAGGAGTCTAGAATAAACTGGAGCTTATTACTAATTTTCCACTTCTAGACACCATACCACTCTTACATATTGTCTGTTATCCTAGCTTATTTGGCAACCACACATTACTGACATCACAGCTTACTTGTTAAACTAGTGTAAATACTTGACTTTAGTCAATTCCATCTTGATAGATACTAAGTTTCTTTTTCAGGCTATCAAGATTTTTTCAGATCCTGACCATCATCCAAGGCATTAATTACTGCATGCAGATTCAAGTTACCAAACATATCATAAACAGTCCAACTACACTTTCAATTGTTGATAAAAACTAGAATACAACCTAGAGCATACCACTATAGCCTTTCTCTTTCCAAAATCTCCCACCTTTCTCCTTTCTCTTGCTGCCACCCTCCTCCTGGCCTTTGTTCTCTTTATTCAAATAATCTTCATTATTCAGCCATTTACATCATGCCACCCACACCAGGGCTCAAAAAGGGGGTGAGGGGTGCTATGCAGCTTAGTATGAAC